AGAGATATACAAAATATTCAACCAAATAAGTAGATAAGTAAGCGGAATTATGAGGAGCTTATGTTACGGCATTGATAACTTCAAACACACCCTCATGCCCGGGCATCTGCCACTGAAACAAAGCCTATCCTAGACAACAAGTTTGTGGCTGTGTGTGTGTGTGCCGATAGTTGCTTTCCTCCGAGTGTGTGTGCAATTAGGGTTAAGACTGTTTATGTGTGTACAGTGTGTGTGTGTGGTTGCGTGGCGGTGGTGGGGGTTGTTAGCGGTTCCATCTGGGTCTCCTGGAAGCCGTGTGGAGTCAGGAAAACCACATCTCATAAAAGTGGAGGCAGCCCAATGTTCTACAAGGACAGAACATTACTGAGAATGTCGCTCAGGAAAACCCTGGGCTTTAGTCCATATGTTGGCTGCAAAGTCTTGTGTGTGTGTGTGTGTGTCTCTCTCTCTTTCCACTCCCTCGCTCTCCTTATTTTTCACTTGGTAAGGGATAAGAAAGAGGAAGGCAAAAGAGACAGTGTTTGGAGTGTGGGAGACGGGAGGCAAAGAGAGGAGCCAGGACTGATAGCAATTCCATCTGTCTGTATCGAACACAGTAGTGAGCAGTGACAGGCTGCGGGACGGAGAGGGGGGGGGGCGGGAGGGCATCTGGTGCACATTGGCTTTGGGTCTGTCTGGAAACAACCATGGGAGAGAGGAGAGAGGGATGAGCACATGGGAGGGAGGAAAGGTTGAAGGGGAGAGGAGGAGGAGGGGAAAGTCATGCCAAAGTGAAGGGGCAAGGAATTCTGGCAGTGAATCAGTGTGTCTGTGGTGTTCACAAAATGCCTTGGATTTAACTTTTAAACCGGTGAAAGAGCAGAGAAATAAAGACGGGTAAAAGGTAGAAAAAAATATGACACTCATAACTTTCTGTCATCACTTTCGGGTGGTAACCTCAGAGCTGTCATTTTGTGATGTTCACGTTTTCACTGTACTCACACTCGCAAAGTTACGGCTAGGATATACAGGACAGTTTTAAAATCTTTAGATTATTTTATTTATTAATTGCCTTAAAGGTGCGGTAGGTAATTCTGGAGAAACCAGCTCGAGTGCGCTAGAATTTAAAAATACACAGCCAGAAGAAATCTGCCACTTCCTTACAGAGCTCCTCCTCCAACACAAACGAATGTGCACATGATCAATGAGGACACGAGATAAGTTAGTGCACAGATGGAAGGCTGACAGGCAGGTAGGCCATCCAGTTATGTTAGCCAGGCCGGCTCAGATGATTGGCCGTGCTTTTTACAGTACTATGGCTTCCACAGATGACATTTTTTAATGGATTTTTTGTCAAAGCACTTCAGATATTTATTGCTATCGGGATGTTAAGAGCATTCCATGGAATATAACAAAAAGTGTATCTCGAGCCGGTTTCTCAAACTTACCTACCCCACCTTTAAGCCTTAAAACAAAGGCTATTTTACTTCTTTCTTAAAAAATATGTAATTTCAATAAATAAAGGCTACCTCTTGCTCTTTTGATACGATATATGTAGGTGTTGAACATATTTTATTTCATGTTTTTTTTTCATTTCAAGATTTTTATATAGTAATACTATAGCAGCTGACTGTGTGGATGTGCTGGTGAACAAGAGTGAAGCTATAAGACTGAAGGTCAGGCTTCAAAGCAAAGACAATCATTCATTGTAATGGTTATTGATGTCATGTATAATTCCTCTTCTTTACAAATCTAAATTCTAACCACTTGATGAGCCATCTCGCTTTTAATAATATTGATTCACTACTGCAGTTTAAGGAGCCTATTATATAGAAAAATTGCAAAGTGTACGCACATTTAGTCACACTTCCACGGTGAGTTTACTCCTGTCATGCAGTAAATGGCAGAGAGGACGGAAGAGGGCAAAGTGGATCTTGGATGTCGACATAAATTAATTCTTCCTCCTTTAGGTCAAAGTAAAATGCTATGGTGACATATTTCTACTTTTGCTGTTGTACATTTTTCCAGCAGAATACCAGATAACAGTGGTAGTAATGATGGTAGTGCCCTGAATACATTGGAGCTAATGTGGGAGGTAAACGTGAGAATAAGCAGAGTGGGGAGGAGAAAACACTGAAGATTCTGTGATAAATCATCAAAACTTGAGTGACACTTCCAGACTTTTCATACGTCCATGTATGCGTAAGTGATGCAATAATTGAAGCTGTGTTTGCTGAGGAAGAACAGCTAAGCATTCCCTCATGTCATCCTGAATATCCCCAACCTTAGTCAGAAGCACTTACAGACAGAAACCCACCTCCTCGTATGTCTAAAATATCACGGAACACAACTTAAAACTTGATTTGTGACTAGTTTTGTAATTGGATAGGATAAGTGTTGTATTTAGGCCAAAACACTGACATTTTCCTTTCCTAAATCACAGCACTAACAATAAAAAATGTGTCATTATGGGAATATGATACATGATTTCTGACCTGTTAGCTATTTAGTTTGCTTAATACATAGAGAGGGAATATTTTTGGTCTAAAGACAGAATACTGATGCCATACAGCGTCTGTGTTTTTCTGCTTTGTGATTGGTTGAAAATCTAAGTGTGTGTTTTCCTTCTTCCTGCAGCACATACGTTCAGGTGGTCAGGCATCAGAGGAGCTGCAGCTATACTCTGTCAGCTCAAAGTCCTGAGTGCTCTGGCGCATCACTGACACCCATACGCACTGACACCCAGAAAAACACACATTTCTTTCTTTCTCAACCTAAAGTTATTGTGACGAACCAATCGCGTGAAATTAGGAGGTATATTAATAGAGGGAAGGAAAATCAGAGCCAAAACTGTCAAACACTATGTGAAATGTGTTATAGGAAGGCTTGACTAGATTAGAATTTATATTAAGTAGGTGTTTTTGTTGTACAATTATCGAGATTTAAAACATATCTCATTAAAATAGTAATTAACCTATGGCCTAAACACGTATTCAAATTCAAAATCAGTATAAGCGAGCAATTGACTGCTATCACTGGAAAGCAATTCATCCCCAAATAATGCTACACCGCTATCAAAAAGACCACTTATTATCTTCCATCTGCAATGCTGTTCTCATTTCATCTCTCATTTGGCACGGCGTGGTGTTGGGAACAAACCCCTGACACAAAGCATTGCCCGGAGGCTCGGGAAGATGATTGAATTTCATAGCTACTTACAGGCTAATAGGGCCGTACAATGACTGCTTACTGTCCTTAAGTGACTGGCTGCCTCTCGCCGGCCGCGGCCCCTTTGAAGCCCTTCTGAGGAGATCTAGAGGATTTAAGCAGTAGCGTGACATGAGGCTGAGCAGTTGAGCAACGGTGCTCCCACCAGCTGACTATTAGAGCCAGCTGATACAAACACAGACTCTGCGACTATGAGAACCACAGTTGCTCAATACAAGGCATTCTCACACTGCAGATTTGGAGCTTTTAGTTACTTTCCCTCAGGGGTAATATTGATATTTAATGCTGAGAATGCTTTTTAGAGATGGAAAGGTTAGCAGGATTATCACCCCGCAACAATTGTTATTATAATGTAAACATGTCCAAATATATTCTGTTAATTTGCAGCCTGTGTTTCATAATATTATATTATAAGAGTATGTTTTTGATCAGACTAAAAATGTTTATTTGAAGATGGGTTATAAGAAACTCTTGGGCATTTTCTCTACATTCAATAGACCAACCAATAAACCAGTTAAGCAAAAAACTGCAAAACTGATTTATTGATATTAGGAATAATATGTTTGTTTCAATTATGCAAAAATATTTTTGAAATAAAGCAAACTATCTATTTCAGAATGAAGAATATATCAATATTAAATATTGAATATATTGAACTGTATCAAAATACTTTATTAATCCCAGGGGGAAACTAGGTTTTGTGAGAGTATATAACACCATATTAGAACAAAATACATACATATGAATATAGGTTGAAGTTAAAATGTGCAATACAAATATTAAGTGTATTATTTTAAATATTATAAGTTATATTTTCGATTTTCAGATCTTTAATAAATATTTTGTCTGAGTCTTTAAAATATGGATTCTAAATCTTAAATTGTAACTGTAAGCTGCAAACAGTATTTACAAAAAAACTGTAGTTTCAAATAACTGTTAGAATATTTATTAAATAAGTGTTCTTTAAAACTTAAAAATAAAAATATTGAATCAGAATCTGAATCACAGAAGCCGCTACGAACCAGCCTCTCCTCACCATGCTGTTCCACTTACACTGCCATATACACATACAGATAAGCACATGTACACACACACACACACACACACACACACACACACACACACACACACACACACACACACACACACACACACACACACACACACGTACACACTAACCACATGCACATGTTCACTTGCTCTTAACTAATTCATTCAGGAACACTTCGGTTTGGGTTTCAACACCAAAACCTTCGTACCTTTGATTGAGAAATGTGTCTGACTGCAATTATATGTGAGGGGGGGAAGGATGGATGGAGAGAGGAAACACACTACAGTGGTTTTATAGTTTGCTGGCGTGACATTTTTCTCAATTTTCTTTATTTTTTATCCCTTTCCTTTTTCCAGCAGAGAGGCCTAGTGTTCACAGGGCAGGAAGAGGGGGCAGACTGAAGTAGAAGTAACGACAGGGAAAGTGTGAAGAAAATGGATGTGCAATGGGACTGAAGTGGCCAAGATTGTCACCATTGTGCTCGTGATCAATAACTCTCAAAATAATTGCAATGCTGGACAGATTTGGAGATACACTTGGTGAAAAAGAAATGATAGTGATCACTGTGAACATTATCCCCACTTTCTGAAATCACAGACAATTGCAGGGAAATCTGAAGGCACATTTAGGGACACAGTTGTTTGATAGCAGAGAGTAAGTACAGCTAATATTCCATCTTGACATTTAAGATAAATCCTTATGATGCTTCACAGACTCCGTAGCGTGTGTGTTGGGCACTGACCTGCAGGATGTAGCCCCTGACGTAGTCTCTGAGGGTCCAGCCCAGGCCGTGCAGGATGTGCAGCACCTCTTCCTGCTTCAGCACGGAGAACAGGCGGTCCAGCAGGATCTTCAGCCTGACGGGTACGGCCTGGGTGCCGTACAGCATCAGGCTGCTGATGTCGAACACCACGTTGCACTGAACGATCTCCACCTGGGTGGGGTGGTACAGGTGCTGGGTGCTGAGCTTGTCTAAAGCTGTGTGAAGGGGAGGAAGAAAAGAAAAAAACACACAAACACCGACCCGGTTAATGATCAAATTGCAGCTCAAATCTTCCTTAGGAGGCTACTGCGCGGTCAGCACTAGCTGATAAGAACATATCAATCAGATAAAAGCATTGACATTAATGTAATTATCTCCCATTCTTTCTATTTAATCTAATCTCTTGCTCTTTCAAACCGCCCTCACATCTCCCATTTTTCTTGCATTACTTATGTTATCTTATATATTTATACCTAATTAGGTATGTCCTATGGACTTTAAAGTGGGCGGGGGCACAGTGAAGTCCACGGATGAAAAAAACGTATTAAATTAGATGCCATGCTTTTCATAATATTGGAAGGATAACAAAATTAAATGATACAACTTCATTATTGTACAACCCCTTCTTAAAATCATGTTAACTTTCTTTAAAGGCAAACTGATACTGTGTGATACATTTCAAATGTCCATATTATTTTCTCAGCAGTATCTTCAGTGTATGTTCCGCTGCACACAGACAAAAAACTTCAGCAATAGGGATTAGTAGCCTGTATGTTGCCTGAGGGGCGAAACTCGGGGCAGAGTATGATTGTGAGTACAGGTTAGGTTTTGTCATTGCCCTTTGTATCTCAACCTCAGTCACCTCTCTCTTCTCTGGCTGTCTGTGCGACACCTGGACAAATCTCTTTCTTCCTCTCCGTCTCAATCCTTCTCTCTCCCCTTACCTCATACTTCCCTCTCTCCCTCCCCCCTTTCCCCTGCCTGTCTGGGTGACACCTGGTTGGGTCTCTCTCTGATCCTGGGACGGCTTTTTCCTGCTGACGAGCGCTTTGCCTGACAACACAGCGCAGCCAGACACGAACATAATAAAAAATGAAGAACTACTTGTCAGAGTCCCTGCCAATGCCGACATGAAATGAAAAGTGGGGGAGAGGAGAGATGGGCGCCTGACAGTTCAGAGGGAGAGATTAAAAAACAGTCAATGGGGTCCTGTGCGATCGTTGAAGGGCCCATGGCTCGCTCTTGTGCGGACGCAAGCCAAACAGGTGTTTTCTTTTTTCCCCCTCCTCATTCTCTTTGTACTTTGGGCCTCCTCTCCCTTTTTCCTCTACCCGCCTGAAAAACTCATGAGGTGTAGTCTCTTGCTTCTTTCTCTGTCTTTGGGTCTGTGTTTTTTTTCCCCTTTTCTATATAAATCAAAAGTGCAAAAAAAAGACTTTGAAAGCAACCACAAAATACAGAAGCAAACAAAAAAGGAAAAGTGTCTTCTTCTATGGAAAATGTATAAAAACATTTGGATTTTAGTCGGAGAAAATCTAGCATCTGCACTGAGTGAGAAATGACACAGTTGTACATTTCTCTACACAGTGGAGAGTACTGATATGCAGCTCTCTTCTCACCACAGCGACAGGAGATAGTTATACGAGCATCAGTCACTAAATTCATATTTATTTACAACATATTCAGATACGCCCACCAGCTACCTAAAAATGAAAATGAAATCACTCACCGTGAGCTACCCAGCCATGTTTGCACTGGTCACATGTGCGTAGGTGAATCTTCCCGGGCTGGAAACACTCACATGTGCAGTTCACTAGTGTGCAGCGAATGGCCTGCAGAGACAGAATCAGAAGAAAGACAAACACGTCAATCACTGGCTGGAGCACAGAGGAGAGGTGATAAACCAAGGACTGAGAGAGAGCAGTTATCAAAGCAGCCATACAAGCGTGTTCAAACGTTTCTGTAAAAAGTGACAATTGGCACGTTGCAGCCACTACTACAAAAAGATTACCCAGCCACCACATTTCCAAACAACTTTCCAATGTGTGAGTTTGCCTCCCCATACTGTAATTTCCCAGAGTTCATGAGAACCGACTGAGGACTTCCTTTCCTAAAAAACACAGAAATGTAACTTGTTTTGACTGAGGCTCCATTACTCAACACTAAAGCTGCACTTAGTCTGACCCCGGAAAGCTTTTAGTAGTGAGAGGTTAAGTGTCCAGACTTTGACGGGGGCAACTCGGTACAGTCTGCCTCAGCCTTCATGAAGGGCCGTTCAAAACCGACAAAAATCCAGGTACATTTTGCAGGGAGGTCATTGGATCCCGTAGGATGTTTCACATTTTTTTAAACAATAAAAAGATCTTACAGCAGGGGAGGAAACGCATGATATACACACAATTCCTCACAAATGAAAACAGCTCTATCACCCAAATGAGTGCAGCAGCTGCAAGTCGTACATTTCTCAATGACATGGAGAAACAAGAAGACAGAATAAACAAAACATGAATCTTGATTGGCAGCACTTCTGTTTACCACACATGACTTTATATTATCAAGATGGATAAAGATAGTTTACGTATATATATTACTTAAGCATTTCTACAACCTAAACTGCCTGAATCTACAGCTTTCGGTGCAGCAAGCTTGCAAATGGGAGGTAAAAGAAGTCAAACCATTTCACTCTGAAAACACGCTTATCTGTTCTTTAAATCAAATATTATATTTCTTAAGCTTTGACATGTAGTGCAAGTAAGTTGGCTGCTGATGTTAGAATAAAAAGTTAATAGCATGGTATAATAAACAGCAATTCCACACGATAAGAATAATTTATTTTAAGTTGGGCACATATGGAGTTGAGTCAGGGCCGAATGCCTGAGGGTGGTAATTCTTTAGGCTGGAAAGAAAATAAAAATATTTCAGGAATGCGGGAGGAAATTGGGTTTAGTGTACAAGGTGACTGCTGTGAGTAGCTGCCTATTTATTTTGACAGGAAAAGCCTAATGATCTAGTACTAAGGAAACTTGTCAGGTGTTATCTGCAGAGATAGATGAGGGTCTGTCAGAGACGGTGAGAAAGAAACACCGTTGTCCTCACACCAAAGCACTACTTATCAAAGCATGACACTTTATGGATTTACAAGCCGCTCTAAAAATGCTATCTCATATTGTTTCGCTGTAATTCTTATAAGGCCGCAGTGTGACAATAATGTGACACAGACATGCACATACATACAGGGTCGTAGGTTGGAGTCCATGTCTGGGCTCCATTTCAAAATGTCAGATCAGCACTTCGAGATAGAAAAGATCAGCTTTACGTCACACAGCTGAGGTCAACGCATGATCACTGATGACAGAAAAATGTGAGCTCTCTACTGAGGTTCACCAGTATTGACTTGAGTGCTCCTTCTGTGTGTAACAGCAGGAAATAGCATTACCTAGTCTGTGGATTAGACCAATATCCTGTAATTCAGGATATAAAACTAAGCTCGCTCTTAATCTACTAAGGGACCACAAAATCTACTACAATCCCCCCCCTTGCTCGCCCTAAAGTGTCGTAAACCAGATTAGTAACTGGAGGTGTCAAAGTGAACACGGGTTTATCCCAGATTAAACGCAAAATTACACCACTTCTAACCATGTCACCTCGCTGTTTGACACTGGAAAGACAGGAGACGGAGATTATTTGACTTTGCACCATTCTTAAGCTCTCCAGGTGCGGGCACGGCAATCCTCACCGTGTGTGAGGATTACACGCCGTGTGTCAGTCGGAGTGTACATACATAATGTGCTGACTGAGCTGACGTTCTTATCCCGAGCACTGTGCAATGAGAGAGTGCAGCGTTCCCCTCAAGGACACATATGCATCGGACATGGCTGTCAATGTACATTCATTGACTGTTGATGGGGTCAAACCTGGGACCTTAGAGATTCAGGATAGACTCAGAAAGCTGATTTATAATGCTGTTCTTCACTTTCACATGCAGTATGTCACTTTCACATGCAGTATGTTATTCACCATTGGACTGTCAATATTTTTGGATGATAAAAACTTCGCTTTTTGGTCTGGGAAATTGCAAATGACTGTCAGTTGACTTTTTAATCGTTTTAGAGAGAAGAAGCTCGCAAATAATTATCACATAAATTGGTAATCTCAATAATTGTATTTGCTTCACACTGGCCACTTTTCAAATTTTGAGTACGATTCCTTGTCAGATGTTTTGCCACAGGAGCTTTTCCCTTTTTATATAACTCTCGTTACGTAAAGATTTTTGCAAACTCTATTTTCAGTACTCAGATTTAGCACAGTGTTGTCACACAAAACAACCCTTTACTAATTACCTCCCCGTGCGGCAAGGCTAAGAGCAGCAGACGGAAATAAACAATTGGAAATATCAAATGCACCTCTGCTGTTTACGAGCTGGGGCCTGACAGCTGACAAGATAGTTAAGGGGCGTCTAATACGGCAATTAGAGCGTGCCACTGTCTGCGGGGCTGCTGCTGTGACAAGGCGCCCTCTAATCACTGACTTATTACGCTGGCTAGCAGCACCTCTCATATCTGGCCCATTAAGCAGACAGCAGCATTAAGAAGCATTAAAGCAGCAAGCCCCCCCCCCCCCTCAACTGAAGAGGTACTGACGGGAAAAAAAGAAAGGGAGACCATTTACTGTTCCTGTTATTTCCTCGGGATTCATTGTTCCAAATTCATATGTCAGAAGAGTAACTCAAGAGGTGTTTGCGATATGACGGCATCAACATTGATCCTACGCAATAGGATGAAAGATTACAGACTGATTACAGAGATTTTTAAAAGAGGCAACTGACGGATGTGTCAAGGATGGCCATCAAAAGCAACATCATGGAGGATGTGAGTGTGGCTTGTCAGAGGAAACAAGAATGTAATAACTTCTTCACATGTTGCTCACGTACCGAAGAGCTCTGCTCCTGTGGCCAGCGTGGACCTGTGCTGCATTTGGCTGTGGTTTAACCTGTGTCTGGCCTGGGTTGGGTCAGGGACAAGCTTGGGCCCGGATCCCAATGCTACACTCGCACATATTTGTCACAGCAGGCGGGGGAGGAGGCTGTTATCTGAGGCCCGGCCAGATACACAGTATTAGTCACTGTGCTAACGTCTCGCCAGGGTTTCCTCTTTGGCACGCAACGAAAGAGGACGACAGTGAGGAAAAGGACATAGGGGTGTGTGTGAGCGAGTGTGTGTGAGACTTTGTAGATCATTTGAGCAGCTAGGAATTGAAAGCTGCTATTGAAAGCCCACAATGCTGTAGCAATTAGACTCAGACAACAGTCGACACTCACACAGCTGCCGTGTTACCACCACGGTCAACAACTTAACCTCGCCGCGTACAGAGAGCATCGTTTTCGGCCCTTATCTGGCTCAAGAGTGTGTGTGTGTCTCACTGCTGGGTTTTGTTTAGCTGGAGGCTTGATGTTTCATGGATGTTTTGCTTGGCTCGCAGTCCCTGTCCCAGTCCGATTGTATAAACACTGACAGGCAGCAATGGCCAGCATCAGACTGAGGAGGACTCTCAATTAAAAGACTGTTAGTGGGACAGATGGACTGAAGAACTGCAGGAAAGAGGGGCTGCAGAACAAGATGGATTCAGCCTGGACTCTTGTAGTCTGGTCCAAAGAGGATTTTAAACAGGCTGGGAGAGACGGGAAACATTGAACATTTGCCGGAATATGCAAATGAATCCATTCCTAAAACCGAGCAGCACATGTAGAGGTCAACAAAGACAGAGCTTTGGCCATTGCAAAGGCATATGGAACCATATTACTGGTGATTAAATCAAACTTAAATCCTGTACAACTGTTTTACTACCCTGTCATATTTTACGGTTGACATATGCCACGGAAAACACCACTTAAACACCACTAGTACATGTCATCCTCTCCGTTTCCTCCCTTGACAGCGTACAATGGAAAGCCAACGCAGACAGCTGCTGGATGCTGGTCGGGTATTGTTCCTCCTACTTTAATTGAAACCTTTACCATGTTCAACACACAGCCACAGACCACATTTCTTGTTTGGTGAGTTAAGCAAAGCCGAGATTTAAATGAAAACCCTGTGTGTACGTGCGCATATGTGTGTGTGTGTGTGCTTTGGCTTTGCAGCAGCAGCTTCAGATTTAGATTTGTCTCTGCTTAGGGTCACTGTAAAACACTGGGAGCATCTTGTCCTCTCTTCCACCCACAAGATATTATCTCATCCATGAGTTAGCTGCTGAAATGCTGTCAATTTCCTGCCAGAAATGTGCAGCAAACGTGTGTAGGAAAAGAGGCACGGCAGCTTTGCGTGTCATAAAACGAGGCCCTGGCTCCGTCGGATGGATCAGGACTTCACAATGTCCATATTGGAAACAGGTGACAAATAAAACACGCTGAATAAAGAAAGTCTTTGTAGTCAGACACAGCACTCCACAAAATACAGGGGAGCAAATACCCCATGCCAAAGCTAATTTCTGCTTGTTTGATTTTGTACGTTGGATTGTACTTGAAACAGAGCTTTCCTGCTTTACAAAGTGCTACAAAATAAACAGCGATTAATCATTTGTGCATTGGCATCAGTGTCAATTTGTGATACTGCACATGGGGAAACTGTAGTATTACAGGAAAGACAGGAGGCTTTGCTCTGAAATCCCCACAGTGTAAGGCCCGTCCTCCATGGCAGTTCTGGTTTTGAGCCCAGCGGCTTTCAGTCTCAGAGCCAGAGGTCCCTGTCCTTTGTGCAGCTGTGCGTCTGGGCTTTGACACGGGGCAGGGCGACCAGAGCTATGCTAATGGGAACCAAATGGGGCGTGAGTCCCTGGT